GCGATAAACATAGGGGTGCATCTGTCTTTTTCAAACTGGGCTCCTGCATTCTTAGGGTAAATTCCTAGAAGTGGAATTCCTGGGTCAAATGGTATTTCTATTTTGAGCATTCTGAGGAACCTCCATACTGCTTTCCACAATGGTTGAAGTAATTTACATTCCCACCAGCAGTGTAGGAGGGTTCCCCTTCCTCCACAGCCTCGCCAACATTTGTTGTTGTTTGTCTTTTCGATGATGGTGATTAAAGAGGCTTCTTAGATTAGCTAATTCATGTAAAGAATTTAAAACAGTTCTTGGCACAAGGAAAGGCCTATATGTGTTTATTGCTCTTACTCTTATTGTTTTATACTTTTTTTCTTCCCTGACAGAAAGAAAACTCTTCCATGAGTTCTCTCCCTTCCTGCTTTATTCACTGGTAAATGAGGACCTGAAGCTGTGGTGGTCATTTTATGACCATGAGGCAAAAAGCCTAGAACAAAGCTATTCTTCTAAGGAAGGTGGAACAAAAGAGTAGGAAACTAAGTCCTTGGTGATACCAGTAAGCCATTGCACCAAAACCCCAAACCTCCTAACTCCAGACTCATTAAATGAGATAATAACCAAAAGTCTTAAGTCATGTTAATTGGATTTTCTGTTTCTTGCAGTCAAATGTATCCTCACAAATACATCTCTGTGTGCCCAGCACAGAACAGAGGAGGTGCCAATTAATATTTGATGATACAAATGTGCATGATATAAGATATGTCTGAGTTCAAGTACATGAGCACTTCAGTATAAGTTCTGTAATGGAAATAAGGTTGCAAATCTATGCTGAGAGGCACCAAGGCCTAACAAAGAAATTTTGAACTGGATTTATTTTGTTTTTTCCTCCCCAGCATCCATTTCTCCTGATAAAGATCCTCAATTATCCTTTGGGGAATGACGCCCCACCTTTCCCACACCCTCATTTGGTCGGACACGTGACTCAGGTTTGCCCAGTCAGAGCACTCCATCGCCAAAGCACAGTGGCATCTCCTTCCCTTGTCCTCTCTCATGACAGTTTTTGTAGAAGCTGTTCACTCCCTCTGCTGGGGACATGTCCTACTACTCTCCCACCATCACAATGTCCTCATCTGGCTAATTTCCATTCATCTTTTATGTCTTGACTAATATCACCTCCGCCTCCAAAAATCCATCCAAGTGGCGCTCTGGAGGTTCTATTGCTTCTATATGCCCAACAAGCTTTCCCACTGTGATATAATGGCTTAGAAGAAATACATATTTGGTCATTCAGATGATCCTATGACTCTCACTCTTTTGCATGTCATTCAGATGACCGAATAAATACTTCTCAGATGTATTTAGTCTTCATCTACAGTTCCTGAAAACACTTCAGAGTCATAAAGGTGAAATAGATGTCTTATTATTAATTAAGGTGAATTTGGACCCCACCCAAGGGCACTGGCTGACTGTCAGGAGGACCAACCACGTGATTAGAGGGTTGGAACTTTCAGTCCCACCACCACCCTCAACCTCCAGGTGGGGGAACGGGCTGGAGTTCAACCAGCCAACGGCCAATGACATAGTCAATCATGACTATGTAATGAAGCCTCCATAAAACCCCAGAGAACAGCTTGTTTTTCAGAGAGCTTCCATGCCTGGGGAACTAGAATGCTTCCAAGTGCCACCAAGCCAGGGCCCAAGCTCCACAAGGACAAAAGCTCCTTTATTTGGAACCTTAGCCTATGTATCCCTTCATCTGGCTGTTGATTTACATTCTTTAATAAACTGGGAAATATATCATTTCTCTGAGTTCTGGAAGCCACCCTAGCAAATTAATCAAACCTAAGGGAAGGTCATTGGAACCTGCAATCTGTAGGCGGTTGGTCAGAAGCACAGGGAATATCCTGGAGCTTGAGTCTATTGTCTGAAGTGGTGGGGGCGAGGGGCAGTCCTGCGGGACGGAGCCCTCAACCTGTAGAATCTGACATTACCTCCGCGTAGGGGTAGAGTCAGAACCGAGCTGAATTTTCAGATACCCTGTTGGTGTCTGAGACTTACTGGCTTGTGGGGGAGGATGGGGCTGGATCCCCTTCCCCACATTGGAGTTGAGTCTCGGAACCTTAAAAGACCCGTCCTACTCTTCTGGTGATGATTTAAGATCAACCCTATCAAATTGCCAATATTCTGCCATTCCTAATCTACAAAACTGGTGATTTCATATGGTTCACCCAACATCTTAGCAATGTACCTCCTCCAACCCAAGCCACAGTACCCAGAAATATGACCCCTCACCTGGCCAATCAAAGCATTCCATTCCCATGGATGCCACCATCAGTGCAGGACCAATCAGAGCCCTTCCCTGGGATATTTTTTTTTATTTTTGCCATTATACTTCTAGCCTATGATGCTAGAAAGATTGAGTCTGTGTCTGTAAACACATGGCCATTTTCCTCACCACATGCAGTTGAAGGGGATGAATCTGAGCTGAGACAGGCAGAGAAGAGAAAGGAGACAAGTGAGAAGAGTATCTTGGTGGAGTTAAGTCTGAGTTCCAGTCTCAAGGCCAATTCCTTGCAGCTTTACCCTCAATGGTCTCTGTCCAGATATATGAGCCAATAAATGCCTGCTTTTTATACCTAATTCAGTTAAGCTGAGTGCCTGTCACTTGCTACCAAAAGACTGATTAACACATGTACCTGAACCTCCAAGCAGGGTCAGACAGTTCCTCTGAGCTCCCAGTCCCCTGTGCTTCCAATGGTAATAGCCCTGACACAGCCATCTTTCTGTCTGAGCTCCAGGAGGGCAGGGACTGGGTCTCTCTTGGTCACTGGGTCTCCATCTCCAGTGCCCAACACAGGGCCAGGCACAGAGCAGATGCTCAAACATTCCCCTTGGATGATGCCATGCCCTCTCTCACCAAGTCGACCTGTTCCTTGGGTTTAAAGCTTTCAATTTTGAAAACACAAGCATGTCATTGGCATTAATGATTCTCTAATAAATGAAGGGGTTACTGGGGAATGAAGGCAGGTAAGGTATCATCCAAAGGGCTGAACCACGGACCATGTGGACCCCAAATATGTTGAAGAGAGGATGCCAAGTTCTAAGATACCACTTCCTGATTTTGTCTTGAAGGGATGCACAAAGCTGGGGTCTCCACTGAAATCAGCCCATATACCTCTTTTGCTGAAAATCCTCCATTGGCTTCCTACAGCTCCAAGAATAAAATCTTGACTCTTGACCACAGCCCATAAGGTTCTGCAGAATCTGCGTGCCTCTCCCAACCCTTCTTCTGCTCACTCCAGTCCAAACACACTACCTCCAACACAGCAAGTATACTCTTCAGGGCCTTTGCACATGCTATTCAGTTTGCCTGGAATGTTTTTCCCTGGCTCTTCCTATAGTGGATTTCTTCAGCTCCAACATCACTCTCTTTGACCCTCAATCTAAAGCAGGCTTCCAGTCATTCCCTGTCCCATCACACTGTTATCACTCTTTACAGGGTACTTATTTACCACGAGACACTCATTATTTACTTGCTTATTTACTGTCTTCCCCCTCTGGAATATAAGCTCCATGGGGCAGGGGGTTCTTGTTTTATTTAATTTATTTGTCAATTTCGTTCGTTGCCATATCCCCTGCACAGGACCAGGTACATAGTACATGCTCAACAAAGCTTTATCAGGTGAAACAGAGACAATATAGTCAGAAGGTTACTTGTGCAGGATTTGGAGGCAGTAAACTTTCCAATCATGGCTCTGCCATTTACTGGCTGTATGATTTTGGGCAAGCCCCTTAACCTCTCGGAACTCCAGTTTCCTCAACTAGAAAAGTGGGTGCACATGCTACACGTCTGATGCAGAAGGTAAGTGCTATCATGCTTACTAACCAAGTAACTCCATTTAGCTGAGTGTTGGTTTACATGCTCAATCTTCATGCATCAGGGAACATTGTGAGCACAGTGCCTGGCTTGTGGGATGTCCTCAGTACCCAGGAGTGGTGATGGTTGAGACGGCTAAGTGTGGTTGGGCCACTAGGTGAGCGAGCCTCCTGGCCTGCGGTTCCCTAGTGCCTCTGTCCTTGCTGCCTCCCACCTTGTCTGCCCAGATCCATCCCCCTTCCTCCTGCTCTGTTTCTATTTCTGTCTTTCCCTTCTCCTCCCCAGGCCTCAGGGGGCCCCTGGCTGGCATGAAGCCTCCTTCCTTCTTCCCCTGAATCAGGAAGGACTATTCATTGCAGGGCCCTCCAGCAAGGGCTGGGGGCATCCTGCCCAACCAACTTCCCTTCCCCAGCTACAGCTCTTAGCTTCACCTGAGAAACTCCCCTTGCCACACCATCCTCTGTGCCCCTAGAAGACGCCCCCCAACACCTAGGGTCCCTCAGATTCCAGAATAACCAACGAGCTCTGTTTCCTCTCTCACCAGGCTGGCTTTGGGTACCTCAGCGAAGGTCACTGCAGCCATTCTGCAGTCTCTAGCACAGGCCTCATGAGCAGCCTAGTGTAGTAGCAAGGAACAGACGCCAAGATCAAAAAGCCAGCTCCCTGACTTCTTCTCTGTGGATTCTTGGGCAACTAACTTCACGTTGCCCTGGTTCAGATTCCTGTCTGTAAAATGGGACCAAAGGTATAGAGCTCAAACAGCTGTCCGACATCAGAGAGATGAACTGTTTAGCACCATTCATATGGGGAATGAACACTAAACTGCTCAGCAGTGGAGTTCTGTGGTTAACAGTACAGACTCAAGTCAGGCTGCTTGCCTTTCTAAATCCCAATTTTGCCATCTTCTGGTTATGGGACCTTGGGCAAGTTTTCTGGGCCTCAATTTCCTCATCTGTAAAACAGGGTAACTGTACAGATGTCTCAGGGTTGGTGTGAGGATTAAATCACTTAGATGCTTGGCACATGGTAAGCAAGCACTCACTAAATGTTAGCTATTACTGTATTATTACTCCCCACTTCTAAGTCTTTCAGAAGTGAGGAAATAGTCTACAAGTCTCCCTGGTCTCAACTAACGATCCTCCCCCTTCAGTCTCACTGAAGAGTCCTTAAACTGTAATCTAGGAGTATCACAATCTAGGTTGCCCCCTCCACTACTACCACCAAGACACACAGACACACACAGAGGTCAGCAGAGCGGCCTCAGACACAGAAAAAAGTTTAATTCTGCTGCGGTGGAGGGTCCCGGCTCCAGTAGGGAGGGGGATTTGGTTTTGGATTTTGTTTATGTGGGGATTTTATTTGGGGAAAGGTTAAGGAATAGTGGAGAGTCTGGTCCTTCCAGTGGGACCTGCCCAGGAGAATGCGTAGTTGGAAGAGGTAATTAGGAGAGACAGGGAAACTGGACAAAAACGTGGGAGGTTAGAGGCAGAAGAGACAAAGGAGAGACAAATAGGGAAGATAGAGACGAAAGACAGAGACGACAGAGTGGGGGTCAGAGACAAACGAAGGGAACGGAGAAAGGGGGACCCCAAGTCAGACCCAACAGGACCAGGGAGGTGAATGGGATGGGGTGGGGGCTTTGGAGGCCGCCGCGGGATAGAATAGGATCTAGTCCAGCCAGATACAAGAAATGGGCCCCTCGCCCCTGCCCCGGGTGCCGGGTGGGGTTGGGGGCTCGTGTCTCAGTGCTGCAGTGTCCGGGGACCCTGCCCCTCCCCGCGCTTCGCTGTGTAAGGCACCGGCTCCAGCGAGGTCCGCGAGCGCGCGAGGGGAGGGGCAGGAGAGTGGAGGGAACAAGGAGTCCGTGGGGTAGGGTAGCCCAGTGGACCACCCCTCCAGCCCCCTGGGCGTGGGGACGTGACCTAGAGCCATAGTCCAGGCAGCCCGGTCCCCTCCGGGGAGGAAAAGGACACGTCTCCCCTCCAGTCCGACGTATTGGCGTTGCGCTTTCTCCCCCGAGTCCTGCCCCAGCGTCTGGGAGGCCAGCGACTGGTCAGCTGGGCGTTTGCCCGCGACACCCAGGCGTCCCAGCGCCGGCCCGCCGCTCACACGGTACTCTCCAGCATCCACTCGGTGCTCGTAAAAGCCAAGCGCGCCCTGGCGGAGCCCAGCCCCAGGTCTCCGTCTTCCCCGGCCGCGCCCCCTCCAGCCCCGTCCAAGTGCGGCGTGGAGCGGTGGCGCTTTGTCCGCCGGGCGCGGCGCGGGTAACTGTGGCTCTGGAAGAGCGCCCCGTAGTCTCCGTCGAACGAATAGCGTTGCCGCGGCCTCGGCCGGGCCGGGGCCCCGCCAGGAACTAGAGCTAGAGTCGGGGGCGCCGAAGCTGGGGGTCCCAGCGCCCCGGAACGGCTTCTCCGAGGGCCCGCCGCGGCCCGAGGTTCCTCCCCGAAGGTTTCCTCGGATGGCAGCAAGCACAGCGAGGTGGCCGAGCCGCTCAAGGAGCGTCCAAGGACCGCCTCCAAGTCCGCGGGAGCCGTCTCAGGCGCAGCGGCCTTCCCCTCGGCAGCCTCGGCGGCACCAGCTGCGGACGCCACCTCGCGCAGGGCCTCGTACCGGTCCTGCGCCGGCAGAGGCGGGACCTGTGCCGCGCCTGCACCGTTGGTCTGCGAGCACACGTGGCTGACCCGCGGGGGCGACCTGGAGGTCCCCTTGACGCGGCGGCCATCTCCATCGCCATAGACCTTGTAGCGGATCATGAGCAGAACGATGAAGACGAGGACCGAGGCAACGATGACGCCCCCAATGGCGATGATCATGGTGCCACCCAAGAAATGGGCCCTCAGCGGGCGGCAGGGCGCCGGATCCCCAGCCGTGGTAAACTGCACACAGCCCACCACTCGCGTGGCCGGCAGCGCTGTAGCCCCGTCATCGTAGACAGCCAGCACGCACAGGTCGTAGGCGCGGCCGGCCGCCAGATCGTTCACCAGGAATGTTTGGCTGGTAGATGGGATCATCCTGCGGGAGGGAGTGGGATCAGCAAGGGGTCAGCTCCACTCTGAAAACTACGCCGCTTCGCTTGCATTTCCCACCCTTGGCTACCTAACCATCCATCCCTATAAGTACCTCACCCTCTGCAGGACAACAGCAGCCATTCAAGCAACAAATTCCCACCCTCTCATAACCGTTGCTACATGTTATGGCCATCATCTGCATGCCCCGCCCTCAGACCACCCCCTGCCTCATCACCTACCAGTATAATTAATGTCTGCCACTCATATTCCCTTATCTACATATACTGGCAGCATGGGAGGAGTGCCATAGCTTTCATGCCCTGCCCTCAAGGGACACACTCCCAAACAATGTCTCACTCCTCTTAGGCCAACTGCCTTCAAAATCTCTTATGCCCAGATACTATACCCGCTTCCCCTTACCTGCATGCTCCACCCTCACTCAAGTGGACTCTGAGGTCAACTCATACCCTCAGTCTACTCCTTCTGGGTCAACCAATGCTCATCTAGTTCCCCTTTGGTAGGTATTCCTGCTCTTTTGGGGAAACCATGATTCAGGCCACTCCAGTCATCTGCATGTCCCACCTTTAGGTAAATACCTCTCCTAGCTGCACCTATCTTCTGGAACAATTTCCAAGCCGCTCAACTACATATTCCTGCCCACAAAGGAACTGTGGCTACAGGCAAACTCCCCTTCTGATTGGTGATTTCCAAGCCATACTCCAGAGAGGTCCACTGGGGATAGTTCCCCTACTGTGCCTAGGACCACGTTCACTCTGCATGTCCTGCAGCCACTCTATGTACATGCCCTGCCCTGTATCGCCAGAAGTCACCAAGTCACACCCCCAAGTAAGTTTCCTCCAAACTGAGGCAAACTTAGCCAAGTAGATCCCTTTCTTGCTATAGGCCCCTACCCTCAAACAAGGGGCAGGGTACAAAAGCATTTAGGCTGACAAAGTCTCAGAGCTAGATTGCCTGGGTTTGAGTCTCTCTGCCACTTGCTAACTCTGTGACCTTAAGCAAGTTTCTTAATCTCTCTGTGCCTCATAGCCCCTGAAGAGGAATATTAAGAATTCCTATATAGAGATGTTGTTAAGTATGAATGAGTTAACACACCCAAAGCCTGGCACTTAATAACCTTACCATCATTATCTTGAACCTCACCCAGTGTTGGCCAGTAACCCTTGCTGCGATTCACTCTACTGCCAGCTGCACTCTTCCCCATTTGTAAAACCATTCCCATTAGCCTTGCCCCTCTTCTGTTAAGGCACATCCTTTCCATACTGTTGGCCAGGACCAGCCTTGGCCAAGCCGGGACTGCCACATGGACTTGCATGTCCAGCACTCAACCTCACAAGCTCTCCTCTCCTACAAAGCTCTTAGTGGGTCACCTGAGACAAGGACGGCCTCCTCATCTGCATGGGACCAGGCAGCAGGAGTTCCGCCTACTCTGAAAGGCCACGCCCTCATCTCTACAGGCCTCTTCACCTCCCCAGCAGCCAGGCAACCTCTGGTTCTGATGCCCACCTCAGTTCACCCACCTTCAAGAGGCCGCCTCCCTCCAACCAAAAGACAAGCAAGGACCCCACCAGCTCATAAAGGCCTGCTCACTTCTCTGACTTTTCCCCCTGGCCTGCCATTTTACAGACCACTGCCCCTCAGGCCCATCCAACCTTGGTTGGGCTCCTGCTGTAAGTCTTCCTCTTCTCTCACCTCCCCTGTCAAAGAGCCTTAGATTCCTCTTGCGTCTTCCCCTAGAATAACCAGTTGCTGGGGGCTCCCCTCTTTTGAAGGACAGAGGCTGGCTCCTTAAGAAAGCTTGAGCCCATTTGTCTCTAATTGGCTGCAAGACCCAAGCAAGCAGCAGAGCAGGTTTCTCGTTGGATGTCACCTCCGCCCATGGCAGCAGTGAGGAAGTTAACCCCTTCAGCGCCATAGCACAGCTATCTGTAATGGGGGATGAAGGACTGGAACTGTGGCCCTAGGGGAAGGGAAGAGTCCCGGTGTCCGTTGCCCTGCTGGGGTCAAAGGGCCATCAACATCGGTATACATGCAGGATCTGGGGGCCTGTGAACCTCCTCTTCCCCACCATGTGTAAATGCCTCTCTTTTCCCTGGTCTCTGTCGTCATCACTTTTTCTCTTTTTGAATCTGGTCACCAAACACTGAGTAAATGCTCATCAACCAACATGGGAAAGCACCTCCTGTGTGCCAGGACTGTGGCCATGGGTTAGAGAAAGAGAGAGAAACAGAGAGGTGGAGAGTCACAAAAACCAAGAGTTATTTACAGAAATGTATTTTCATCTCCCTTAATCCCTGCCTGGCAAACAGTCGGTGCTCAATAAACATGTTCAGTGCAAAGGGCAGAATTAGGAGTTAGAAGGGTAAGGGCTGGAATCCTGGCTCTGCCACTTTGTGTGTGACTTTTGAGCAAGTGACTTCTCCCTACTGAGCCACAGTTTTTCTGTCTATAAAATGGGAGGGGAAATCATGACCACTTCACAGCAGAATTGGGAAGATTGAATGAGTTGGCATCCTTGCCAGGCATATAAAGATTTTGTTTTGTTCCCTTGTTTTCCCTAATGTTTGTAAGACTGGACTGGTGTCTGTTCTATCTTGTCTAATCTATCTCAGCAGGCGCAGGGCCCAGCATGGATCTGACCTGCAGTGAGCATTTACTCAGTGTTTGGTGACCAGATTCAAAAAGAGAAAAAGTGATGATGACAGAGACCAGGGAAAAGAGAGGCATTCACCCATCAACCAACATGGGAAAGCCCCTCCTGTGTGCCAGGACTGTGGCCAAGAGGACACTGGGGAAGGTGAAGATAGAGGCCAAGAGGCAGGCCTGCTGTATAGGTCAGAGCATCCCTAAGAGCTGGGGCTCCCCACAGGTGGGGCAATGGCTACTTCCCCTCTGGCACCACCCAAGTGAAGTCAGAGCCTAGCGCAGAGCAGGAGCTCAGTACCTAATGAGGGCAGGAGAGAGAGAAGGTACAGGCAGAGACAGAAGCAAGAGCAAGAGAATGACAGGGATGATGGGGGAAAGTGACTCTATAACCAGAGTAAAGGCTTCTAACCCAGTGGATGGCGGAAATAACTTACATGTTTTTCTGATGCTTTTTGCTTTCTGTTTCTATAAAGTACCCAATATGTTCATATAGTAACACTGGTATGTAATTTTGAAATATAAATATAACTGTAAATGTGTGTGTATGTTTAACTGAGAGGGCACACAATCAAACACCTTTGGGGAGCAGTGAGGTGAGCCCCATGAGAGCAGGGATCATTCTGGGCACATTCACTGTTAACTCCAGCGCCCAGCCCTGCTCTGGTTCATGTGGGTGCTCAAAGAGAACTTGCTAAATGCATGAGAAACAGAGACAGACAGAAACAGACAGAGGACAGAGAAGGAGATAGGGCAAATGAGGGCACAAGACAACTCTGCATGGTCATCTAGAACCCCAAAGGAGTGACAGATGGGAGTCAGGGCCCCTGGAACTGAAGCACCAACCTGTACACCAGAGAATCATCGGCAGAGCTGTTGTACTGAACCTGGTACATGCGGATGCCGGGTACAGGCCTCTGGGCTGGCCAGCGGATGAGCACGGAGTTTGAGGTGAGTTCGGCTGCTACCAGCCGGCGCTCAGCAGTTGATTCATTGGCACCGGGTCGGCCAGGCGTTGCAATGTCAGAGGAGCCAGGCTCGGTGAGAGGTGGTGGGGCAGCTGGTGGGGGTGCCATCAGAGGCAGAGGTACCACGCACACCTCCACAGGTGCTGTGGCTTCGCCGGCAGCGTTGGAGGCGATGCAAGTAAAGGTGCCACTGTCCCGCAAGGTGGTGATGGTTACATCCAGTGTCCCATCCCCCCGGACCCGAGTCCGACTGGAGTTCCCCAGCAACCGCCCATCAGGCGCCACCCAGTGCACTACGGGTTCAGGGTCACCCACAGCGCGGCACCGCAGGCTGACTGCCTGGCCCTCCACCACCAGGGCCCGGCCCCCCGCCTGCCGTGTGATCAGAGGGGGTTCACACAGGAACTCCTCCTCCGGGATGGACCAGAAGTAGCGGTCGGTGAGGTGCTCGGGGGTAGCGCATGTCTCCAGGTCATCCTCTCGGGTCAGCCGCCGCAGCCAGAGCAGCTCGCAATTGCAGTGCAGAGGGTTGCCGCCGAAGCTGACGGTGAGAGGTGTGGGTGGCTTCGGCCCGGTGCCTTGGGACCTCAGGAAGAGCCCATCAGGGGGCAGTTTATGGAGGCGGTTGGAAGTCATGTCCAGGCGAACCAGTTTGTGAAGCTGCACGAAGGTACCTTCGGCGATGTGATCAATGAGATTGTGGTCCAACGTGAGGGTGTTCAGGTTCACCATCTGGCCTACGGCCTCCCATGGCAGGGCCTCGAGGTTGTTGTAGGACAGATCCAGGTCTTCCACGGTAGACAGGAAGGCATCAAAGGCAGCCGACTCCACCCGGCGGATCTGGTTGTTGCCAAGGATCAAGTGGCGGAGGTTGCCCAAGCCACGGAGCTGGTCACCGCGCACCTCGGCCAGACGGTTGCTGTCGAGGTGCAGAGCACGGAGGGCGCGGAGGTCGGCAAAGGCGCCAGCTGCCACCTGGCCGATGGTATTACGGGACAGGGTCAGGTGCACCAGGCTGGTCATGTTGGCGAAATCTCGGCGGCGCACAGCTGCGATGAAATTGTCAGTGAGCCGCAGCTCTACCACTCGCCGGTCGATAGCCGGTGGCACAAAGAGCAAGCCAGTCTTGGCGCACAGCATGGTCAGTGTGGGCGCCACGTTCTGGCAGATGCAGCGGCCGGGGCAGGGCTGGCCACGAGATGCCCCAGCCCAGAGTAGCAGCAGGAAGGGCAGGGCAGCAGGCGTCGGCGAGAGGAGCGCCGAGAAGAAGGGGCCTGGAGCCATGGTGCACCGGGGAGGCAAGAGGAGTGGGAGGTAAGTCCTGCCGGGGAAGGAGACAGGTCACCCGGGCAAAAGGCTAGACCACCAGCTGGCCTCCCTGGGATGTCCTGCTAGGAGTCTGACCCAGACCCCTCCCTTCCTGACCATCAGGCCTATAGGACAGTCACAGGACTCATCAGCTGGCATGCATTTACTGTCAATAACAATATTTCCATACTGGCTGGTAAACGACCACTGCCCCTCCCGAATGTCCTACCCCCAACTCTGCCCCTCCTCTAGGAGCTCCCAGACCTCTCATGATCTCCCAACCAGACAGGTGACATGGGGCCAAACCTGGGCCTTCCAGTATACACTAAATATCTTGAGAAATCAAATCACTGCTGACTTGGTCATGGATTTCAAAGCCATAGTCCCTAGGTTCAAACTCCAGCTCTGACACTTACTAGCTGTGTGACCTCGGGCAAGTGTTTGAACCTCTCTGAATCTCGGTTTCTTCATCTGTAAAATGGAGATTAAAAACAAGCCTTACTTCTGTGAGGATTAAATGGATTAATGAGCAAGGTATACTTAGAACAGTACCTGGCATATAAAATGTGTTCAATACATGTTAGCAATAATTACTATTACCATCATCAAGTGCTCAATATGTGGCAGGCACAGATGTATGTGCTCTTATTTAAAGCAAGTGCTTTGAAATCAGACTCAGATTCAAGTCCTGGTTCCAATATTTGCTAGCTCTGTGACCCCACACCAATGATTTCCCCTAACTTGGCCATAATTTCCTGATTTATAAAACAGGATGATAATTGTACCATTTTCATTGCATTGTTGCAAGGGTTCAGACTCACTCATGGGGAGCACCGAGCACAGGGCTGAGCACACAGCAAGTATTCAATACATGTTAAAGGAAAGCCCCCCTCCACCACCTTTGGCAGTGGCACAGGGAGTCTGAGGGTAGAAGATGGGGCTGAGAAAAACACACCAGTCTCCCTGCTTAGCTTGGGAAGCCCTTCTCGGAGCCTGTTTTCATCCTGGGCTCTGCTGAGCTCCCAAGCATGGGGCAGACTTTCATGTTCACATCAGTGAGCACACACAAGGCCCCATACATGCCTACACACAAACACACACACACACACACACACACACTCACTCACTCACTCACTCACGCTATGCCTCTGCTCCAGGCACAACCTTCCGGCAGGGATTCCCCTGCGGCGGCTGCAGCCCACGACATGTCAGCTCCTATCACAACATGGGGTGGGTGGGGGGATGAAGTGGAAAGGATGGGAAGGGGGCGTCCCTGAAACTGTTTTCACCCTGCCCCTCACCCCACTCCCTGCTGGCCCACCCCTGGGAATCTGCAGTTTGGGGCCATGGCCTACATGGCCCTGATCCTTCAGCCCATGGGGAGGGGGACTGTGGACATGGAGAGGAGAGGCCAAGAGAGTCAGAGAGAGGTGAGGAGACAGGGAGAGACAAAGGGGAAGGAGATGGACTGGCAGAAACAGAGACAGAGTCAGAGAGAGAGAGAAAGAGAAAGAACCCAAAGGAAAGGTGGAGAGACAGGGAGTGAGACAGAAGCCAAAACAAAGAAGAACTTATCATGGAAGAGACACAGAGAAAAGAGCCATTGAAACATAGATGGGAGACAGGGACAGGCAGGGATGGAGAATAAGAGTCTCAGAGAGAGAGACAAAGGCAGAGGAAGAAAGAGATAGAAACTGAGAAGACAGCGACTAGGCTGAAGAGAGAAAGAGGTAGACTCAGGCTAAGGGCATCCCCCATCGCCGAGACCCCCCAATAATGTCTTTCACTCCCTGTGGGACACTGCTTTGTACTGGACAGAAAACCCTGGCCTGGAAGGCAGAACCCCAGAGTTAGGAAGCCCAGCTCTGTACCTGCTTGGCAGTAGGGTCTCTGGTGCTTAGAACTCCGATTTATGAAATGAGGTACAGAGCTTCACCTCCCACCGCTGAGGTGGGACTCAGGTTGAAGGAATTAACAACAGCAGTGAAAACAGCTAACTTTTATTGAGAGCCAGTGCAACACTGCAGGACAGGATCTGGCCCGCCTGCAGGGACTCACCCTTCAGTTCCCTGGGGCGGCACTTTAGTTGAGTGACTTCACTCTCTGTGCCTCAATGTGCTCATCTGTAAAATGGGGATAATGATAGCACCTGCCTCATAGGGTTGTTGTGAGATTAAATACATGTTAAAGGAAAGCCCCCCTCCACCACCTTTGGCAGTGGCACAGGGTTGTGGAAAGGACATGCCTCATAGGGTTGTTGTGAGATTAAATGAGATAATACACTGTAACATGCTTAGAATAGGTCCTGACAATAAACACTGTACCAGTGTTAGCTGCTATGATGATGATGATGATGATGAATTTAAGCATTTTCTCTGGCTCTCCCTCAGCCACCAGCTGGTCAGACTATCAGATGTTCCCACAGGCGTGCACAGATACACACAAAACGGTGAACCATGTCCATGCCACTCTCTCCAAATGCAGGGGTCATTTCATGTCATGAAACACTCTCGTACCCTTTACTGATATCATGAGGAAACTTTCTTTTCCTGACCACCTTACCCATCCTGAGAGCAGATGCCTCCAGGCTTGAGACCCCCACCTGCCACCATGTTCTGGCTCTACCATAAGCCCTTATCCAAACATGACACTCTTGACCTTGTCACCACCCCCGACCTGGAGGGAGGGGGTCACCTGGCCCCTGGGGAAACGGCCATACCCTGCCCTGAAAACCTTCTGAGGCAGGGCTCCATGACTCCAGCCCAAAAACTCCCCCAGCCTGAGGGACCCCACTCACCTCTCTTCAGGGAGTCAGGGCCTGGGCCAGTACCTACAAAGGAACAAAATGACTCTATTAGCATCCTTCAGGCTCCTCTCTGAGGACCTGCCTCAGAAACCATCTCAGTCAAGGAAGTCCCTGGTGTGATCATTCCCTGCCCTCCTGCTGCAGGCCCTGCAGAGTCTCAAATAGATCTAAGAAGTCATCTCTGGAAACCAGAGTCTGGGCCTCAGGACTGTTCACCTCCAAAACCCAAGAGTCCAGGACTCCTTTGGGGGATCCAGAGGCCAGGGGTCCCAGCCCCCACCTCCCTCAAGACCCTGGAGTCTGGAACCCTACGTTCCTCCTCCCTCAGACTCAAGGCTCCAGGTCTCACTCCCTTCCTTTCTCAAGACCCAGGAATCTGCCCTCCCACTAGGCTCCTCTTTCAAGATCCACAACTCTAGGGTCCCAACTCCTCCTTCCAGAGTTCACATCCCAGTCCCCCAACTTCAAAAACCTGAGTGATACCAGGAATGGGGAAGAGCCAGAGGTTCCCATCCTCACCATCACACCACTGTCACACCAACATGTGTGGACATGCCAAAATCCACATAGGCCCACAACCCTAGTCTCTACTTTTGGCTTTCCATGGACACTCTAGCATGATCTGTGTTACCCCAATTCTCCATGGGCTTGTGGCCTGGGATGTGGACACAGTTATGTCCATGGACCCCTGAATGAACCACATGGGTCATGCCACATGGGCCCCAGTCTCGCTGGGCCCAGAATGGAGGTGGCCCTGTGCCAGGGACAGTCATACGCGTGCATATCACTCTGCACATATATGTTTGAATGTATATCACCGCAGTCCCCAGAGACGAACACTGATGCATAAATGGACTCACAGACACATACTCTTAAGGTTGGTGCACATGCACACAACCATACACATACAGCATTGACTTTCCCTTGCACATTCACACACACAGGTACACACACACAACAGAGTAATCCATGCACTCCCTTGCAGACAACCAGGTATATGCACCTATAACAGATATACCCTTGCACACTCACCAACACACAGGGACACACATATATAACAGATACTCATCTGCACAAAGATACACAGGTGCACACTCTTAAATGCCCAACACAGTCAGATTTCTCAGATCCCCATAATGCCCGGACACAAAAGCTGATACATTCCTATGCCAAGAAATGCACAGTTGCACACACTAGCTGATACATATCTCACACACATACATAGAACTATAAGCATACACAGACACTGACAAGGCTGATATACACTCAAGCAAGCACACAGGCACGCCAAGATCCACCTTTGCACAGACACTGAGATGTTCACTCATAACAGACACATGCTCACATAACAGCCCGGCGAGGGATTTATACACCTACAAATGCACACAAAAAACCTGAACCACAGTAGCATAGTCAACTGATAGGCAGAGATTCATACTCACAGTCATGCACACACATACCTCCCAGCCCTGAGGTCCCCCACCCCACCTACTTCCCAGGCCAAAGAAATCCTAACATCCCTCCTTCTCAGAACATCTCCCACAACCCCAACCAAGGCACAAGCCAAGGCCAGAAGTCAGAGTTGAGCGGGTCAAATCTCAGAGGGTTGGGAGCCTAGTCCTAGAGCACAGGTCCAAACAGATCCTCCCACCAGCAGCCCAAAGGTACCCCAGCCTGGCCATCTGTATGCAGGCAACTCTGGCCCCATCTGCAGAGATCTGGCAGGTTGGGGGATTGGGGTTGGGTGGGGTGGGTGGGGAAGGGCCGGGTCTGCGCCTCTCCCCTTGGGGCCCATCTGTCCATCCCTCAGCTTTGCATCCTTCCATCTGTCCACCTACCGGCCTCCCATCCCCCCTCCCAGTCACCGGGAAGGGGAAGACATGGCCGTCTCCCACAAGGACCGCTGAGGACCCCCCCCAGTAGACATGGACCGAAGGAACGGCAAACTGCCCCCCATCAAACCCACACAGAGGCCTGGACCCACAAGGCGCGGAGACCCAGCGGCCAGCCAGGAACCTGATGTGGACGCACAGACACACACCCTCGGAGACATACAACCCGCAGACACACACACACACACACACACACACACACACACACACACACACACACAAATGGACACCCGAATGGGCACACCCGGCTACACAGACCCTCGGATGGACATCCACCCTGGACACAAACACCCAACACAGCTCGCCGCGCGCACACACTCGCCGGGGGGTACCCACACCTGGGCACACAACCCACGCACACACACCTGCACACAGCCCCTCCGATGGGCGCGCGACAGCCCCCCAGACACACAGCCGGAGGGGCGGCCACTCGGGGGACACACACGCGCGGCCGGACACAGCACCTCGACTCAACACTCAGCACACACCCGGATGGCCACACAAGCAGGGCGCCGCACACGCCGGCGCCGGGCACACACACAGGGCCGCGCGAGCGCACGCCGGGCCCGCCGCAACGCCGCGGACACACACTCACTCGCTCGCACGCTCACACCGGCGCCCCCGCCCGCCGCCTCCCGGGCCGCTGCGGGCCGTGCTCACCCAGCCCGGGAGGGGGGGCCCCGGGCCCGGCCCCGCCGCCGCCGCCTCGCTCCGCGCCATGGTGGGGGGAGGGCCGGGGGAGGGGGCGCGGTGCTGCGGGGCCGCCTCCCTCCCGCCTCCCGCCCTCCCTCCCGAGCCGCCGCCGAGCTCCGCCCTCCGCGCCGCCCGCCGCCCGAGTCCCGCCGCCGCCACCGCCGCAAGGGGGGAGGGGGCGCCGGCCGGAGTGGGCGGGAGGGGCGGCCACACACCTAGACCCCTGCCCCGAGCTCGCTGCAGACCCCTCTCCACTGCGGAGCCGCGGGCCCACCCCTGTCCCCTCCCCAGCCCCACCTCCAGCCCCACCGGCTTCCCCAGAGACCCCCAGACCACGCCCCGACTGGCTTGGGGACCCCGAATCTCCCAATGAAGACCTCGGATGAAGCTCCAATATTCAGGAGGACTTCAAACCTTGTCTTAGATCCTTTGAGGACCCTGACCATGTTCTACAGCCACCCAGGACCACAAATCATGTGCTATTCTCCTTGATGACCTCAGACTCCCACCACACCCCATGAGGGACCCCAAATCATGTCATCAACTCCCAGGGGAGCCCAGATCATAACCCCACATCCAAGAAGATTCAGAGCATCCCCACTGGGAACCCTATATTATACCCCAACATTCAGGTGGACTCCAGGACCACACCCCATCCTTCAGGGACTCTAGACCATACTCCAACATTCAGAGGTCCCAGACCATATGTCAGCATGCAGGGAGTCCCCAGATCATGCCTTACTCCCTTTGGGGGCCCAGACCGTTTTTGACAGCCACCCAGGATCACAAACCATACCCTACTGCTTCTTGGGCACCCCACCCCCAACCCCCAGCAGGCATGTTCTTCCACCCTCTAGGACCTCAAACCATTCCCTGATTCACAGTAGGGATTCCAGGCCATGTCTAACTTCTACGGGGCCCCAAAAAAGTCTCTTATTCCCGTAGGAGACTCTAAACTTTCCCCAGTACCCCCCATTATACCCCTGACCATCCCTCCCTCCAAGGCACCTCTTGGTTTTCAGAGCCCTTGATTTGCCCCAGGTTCTTTCCCTGCCTCCTCCCTGTTCCTATTCTCTCTCTTGGACCCTTCCCCTCCCTGTGACTTCCGTGGAGCCCAGGATTCCTTATTTCTTCCTTGTTTAGCCCCCTTCATTGCTCAACTCCTACCCAATAGCTGACCCCCTGGCCCCTCCCCCAGATCACACTGAGTATCTCAGGCCACTTTCTACCTCGTTCTGAAACACTCACCAGGCCCCCAAACCCAGCAAGACCATCCCTCCAAATCTCTCTTGTTGCAGTTCTGTAGGTCCTTGGCAGCCCCAACCCTTCCCATTTTGGATCCCACTGTATCAAGATCCTGCCTCAAGCCCTTTCCCTAAATTCTTCGTAGCTGCAAAGCCTGTCCTGTCCCCTAGATCAAAATCACCCCTGCAGAGCCTCCCACTAGTAAACCTTGACCCCATTTGCAACCATTAGATGCCTGGGGACACTCAGAATCCCACAAGTCTCCAGATTTCACCATCATCATTACCACCACCCAAGTACCATCCCTACCCCTCACCCTGGTTCCTCGTGCTCCCAGCTGGTGCATGGAGATACAGGGCTGGGAGGACATAAGTGGGAAAATACTAACAACAACAGCGAAAGTGGAGCACTACTATGTGCCACAGATCGTTGTTAAGGGCTTCACAAATCCAACTGCATTCACCCTTCACAGGAGCCAGATGAGGTGATCCCATCGGTATCCCTGTCTTACAGATGGGGAAAATTGAGCCACAGACAGATTTAGTCACTTGCCTAAGGTCACACAGATAGTAAATGGCAGAACAAGGTGGAGGTGAAGGGAGACAATGTAAGGGCAGGTCTGGGATGGACAGGAGTGGGCAGGGGAGGAGAAAGGAGGAGAAAGATAACAGTAAGAGGGAAGACAGGAGAAGAAAGATAGCAATAAAATGTGCTCTGTGAGTGAGGCTGTATCTGCTTGGGCTCAGGCGCTTTGTTTCTTTAGGTTTGGGGGCCACTCCTTCAAGAGATGGTACAAACTAGGGACCACCAACCCTCTTTCTGCTAACTTCCACTCTAGGCTCCCACAGACCAGGTTCCCTAGTTTTTGAATTCAGGTCCTAGGACTTCCCTGGGACACTTCTCCCTGCTCACCTTGAATGTAAGTTATACAGAGATACACAGAGATGGAGAAACAAAGGACCTGAGCCCAAGCAGAGACAGCTCCACTCACAGAGTACATCTGGCCCTGTGGTGCGCAGATGGATATTCACTGTAAAATTGTTTCAACTTGACTGTTTGAAATTTTTCATAATAAATGTTGTGGGGCAGGGGAGGGGAAGCAGGACTCTTCTAGAAACTAAGGAGGCAACAACAACAACAAAAGAATTGCCCCAACAGGTCCCAGCATGTCTGTCACATCACCTCATTTTATTTCCCTCATAGCACTTGTCATTCTTGTTAACAATCTTGTTTACTTGTTTATTATTTATTGTTGACCTCTTTGTTATTGCTTGTTGTTTGGTCATTAAAATACAAGCCTCCTGAGAGGAGTGGCATGGGCACCAATTTTCTCTAGTGTCCAGAGAGCTATTGGCACCCAGTAGGTGCTCAGTAAACATGTGTTCTTGAATGTTTCTTAGGTGAGGGCTGGGGAGCTAGGCCCATTCCAGACTTACTGCAGGAGTCACACGAAGGAAGAAACATGATCTCCCAGCCTGGAACACAAGAACAGAAGGGGTATACCCCAGCAGCTGGAGAATGCCCCATAAAGTCAGGGAATATGAGCCGGCCTGTAAAGGAGGGCAGCAGGTAGATAATGGAATTGTTTCCTCACACCCTAATTCCTGCCCTACACCTTTTAACAGAGACGCACACCAATCTCATTCTTCCATCAGGCCCCGCCCCTAAGCCTAGGCCCCACCCTATGTCACAACCCTGCCTCGAAGCCAAAACCTCAGCCCTATCTGATCTAAGCAGTGGCCCTCAAGCTTAGGTCCACCGCCCCCACCACTCCACTTTAGGCTCCACCCCAAGAGCATCCCGTTTGCAGCCTAGGCACTGGCCCCTCATGCCTAGTTTGGTTCCTCCATTCTCAGCTATGTCCTAAACTCCAGTTTCTGCCTTTCAGCATAAGCCCTTCTTATATTCAAGGTGAGCAGGGAGAAGTGTCCCAGGGAAAGCCTAGGACCTGAATTCAAAAACTAGGGAGCCTAGTCTGTGGGAGTCTAGAGAGGAGGTTGGCGGAAAGAGGGGAGGTGGCCTCTAGCTTGTACCACCTCTTGAAGGAGTGGCCCCTAAACCTAAAGCCATGCCCCGGTGTGCTGACTCTTCATTGGGTAGTGTATTCTGTTCTGGCTCTCTGATTGGTCCCTCCACAATCCCTCTAGCCAAACCTGCTTTGCATTGGGCTGCCCTTCATCGTCACCCTCTCTGAATGGTCCCTACTTTCCAAACTCCCTGCTCTTGATTGGGCAACTCCTTGAACATGCCTCTTTCTGATTGGATTGTTTACAAACATGAGCCTGGATATAGTAAGAAGTTCAACTATGGGGAAGGGGAGAAAAAAGGGGGGATGGAGGAGAGGGGGAAGAGCAGAAGCTGGTTCCCTAAATCCCCTGTCTAAGAGAGGGAGTGGCCATTGACTGCAAGATATCCTTGGGTTAAAGTTCTAACTTTTTAGTCTAGGGGCTTCCAGCAACTATTTTTGGCTTCCATGCCTCAGTTTCTTCATCTGTAAATTAGGGATAATAATAGTAACTTTTTCATGGGATAGTGTAATACCTGTAAAGTGCTTGTGGAAGTACCTGGCATATAGGAAGCTCTCAATCAGAGGGTTAGCTACTATTAATTTGATCATGTAACTGCATGACTTTGAGCAAGTCTTATGGCTCTATATACTCTGAAGCGGGGAGTTGCTTGACCTCTTAACTGAAAGCCCTCTCCTATCCCCAGCCCTCTTCCTCTTCCACCTCTAGCCATCAAGGATTGAGGCTGGAATCACAGGGAGGAGTAGAGATGTGCCTGGTGAAGAGATGGAGGCGTGACACCAGGGGTGTCAGAGAGGAGAACAGCTCAGCCTAGCACCCTGCTCCCAGAAAAGTGAAAGCACGGGAAATTCTCTATTCGTGCTGTGTAGAGTGATTCTATACTGAATCTCTCATGCAAAGGGCTTGTCCTGACTGGGGGGAAGGGTGAAAGGGGTGGGCAGAATGGAGTGTGTTCTGGCTGGGGATGGGTTGGAGCTGGACTTGTGGACCCTCCCCTAGGAACGACCAGGCTGGGGGAGGGGCAGCACCAGCCCAAGGTCACTGTGTCACTGTTACTATGGCGACGTCCACCTCTCTACAGGGAACCTGGAAAGGGATGAGGGGCAGGAGCTCCCGGGTCTCTGACTCTGGGGACTGAGAGAGGAACAATCAGAGACATGGAAGAAAAGCAAGAGTGATTTATCTCTGTGAAGACCTGCCCATCAGAATTCTCAAACCGTGATACACTGTGGGTGTTCAATAAATGTCCCTCAGAGCCAGAGAGAGCGAGCCTGAGAGAGTCAAATGCCCAGATATGCCAGAAGAAAGACAGAAGAATCTCCCCCTGGGGGCGGATAGGGTGTCTCTCTTCTGGCCCCTCAGCCTCATACTTAGGGGTCCACTGGGAGTCCTGAATCATCTTCACCTTACCTAGCCCTGGGCCCTCAGGCCTACCCAATCACACAAACCACCCACACCAGCAACTCCCGAGTCCCTGAAGCAATTATGTTTGATCCTTCAACAACTTTTCTCCCTTTAAGTTCTTCCTGCCTGGGGGCTCACTGAGGAAAGTAGTATTCAGCGCTGGCTAATGCCTGCTAGACTCTGGAGCTACTGTGGGAAGGAAAAGAAACAGGCACTCTGTCTCCTTTACTCTCAGAGACCCAGGTATCTTTATTCCCCTTGACAGTGGCCCCTCCATGGATTTCTGACATTCCCCTAATTTCTCCAGGCACCCATTCTCCCCTAGAAACCCCTATAAGCCCCTCCTTTTCTTTCTGAGAAACTGGTATCCTTTCCTCCCGGGACTCAGCGGGCATGCCTGCCCTCTGCTGGCGCAAAGCTGGTACTGCAGAGACTGCCGGCCGTTGCCCACAATAAAAAACAAACTGAGCCAGAACTGAGGATATCTGAGTTCTTGTATTTTAATTTCTTTAGGGTCTCAGACGTTCAGGTCGAAGGAGTCTGAGTCCCCAATTCCTTTGGAGACTCAGACATCAGGAATGCAGGTCCCCAGCCCAGAGGTCAACGAAAGAAAGACAACTTCTCTTGGAGCCAGGCCTCAGTGAGGTCATCAGTGGTGCGGATTTCAAACACCTGGGCAGAGAGAATGCTCAGAATTACGATCCATTCAGGAACTGAGAGAGCGAGGACTCCGGCTCCTTCCTCCCTCGAAGCCACCAACCCAGCCTTCCAACCTCCTCCTCCATCAGACCCAGAAGACCCACAGCTTCTTCCTCCCTAACACTCTGGAGCCTCTGCCCCAGGCCCAGACCTTTGTGAGCTCTGCTGTCTGTACCAGCCGGTTTTTGCTCCCTGCATACATCATCTGTTGCTCGGGCTTACAGCCTGCATGGAAAAGAAGAAAAAGAAACATAACAGGGGGGACACTAGGGTGTTCTCTAAGGCCCTAGTGTGTCCTGCAGGCCCTGGAGTCTTCTAAGGGTCCCAGGAACTGTTCTAAGCAGGCCCCTGGAGGCTATACTCAAAGTTTCTGTGTTTGTTTAGAGGCTGGAAGTTATTCTGAGGGTCCCTGGAGATGGGTTTAAAGGCCAGGCAGGGATTTCTAAGTAAAAGGAAGAGGTGGGTTTGCTTACACGCCTCGGGACTGAGTGGGGTGGATACGCTTTTAAGGAATCTGAGCCCCTACCTCCACCACACTGCCCTCCCAGCACTCACACCCACACACCCCACATGCCACACACCCACCAAGTCACACGTATACTCTCACACTCACACAGGCACCTGCACACATTCACACACACACATACACACAATCATACATACCTGCACTTACATACACATGCTCACGCACCCCACACACAGCCTAAGACCCTCTTCTCAGGACAGATAGAGCTGTGTCTCACCCACAGGGCTGGAGAAGATGAAACATAAGGGGTAGGACACTCGGCCATCCTCATGCACATACTTGTAGCTGTAAACCACGAATCTACCAAGTAAAAGGGAATAGAAACTCAGGACTTCAGCCTGGAGCCCAGGCCCAAAGCCCATTGCCTGAGTCCATGATCTTGAAGTCTTGCCTGAGTCTTGAGAGTCTAAGGTTAACAACTGAGGCCCAGGATAGTGGCCTCAAACATAAGATTAAAAATAACAATAATAGCAAGTGCTTATTTGACTCACAACAACCCTATGATATAGGTTCTACTATTATTCCCATACTACAGATGGGAAAACTGAGGCCTAGAGAGGTGAAGTCACTTGCCCAAGATTCTATACAGACAAGATCTGAACCCAGTAAATGCAGAGGGAGGGTGTCAGTGCTCAAGCTCTATGCAATACTGTCCAGTGTTCCTGATCTAGGGGCTAAGACCAGGGCCAGTTACATATTTTGCCAAGCCCAGTGCAAAATGAAAATGTGGGGCCCTCTGTTCAAAAGACAGGAGAAAAGCTTTCTCCTTTCTTCTGAAGTCTCTCTCCAGACTGATCATTGTCTTTCTAAATCTGCTACTTAAAGTCAGGTTCTTTGAGGGATTTGGACACTTGCAGGAGGAGTGTAGATCCCACTTGTCATATGAGGGGTGTGTGCTGACCCTGACCCCAACCATCCTGGCATCTGTACTTAGGCACCTGTCTGGGGTAGAGGGCAGCAGCACTCCCTGGGCAGGGCAGGGAATGAGTGAGAGCCCAGTGAGAACCTGTCCAGGGCTGGAGTGGAGACCTTGTGTGAGCAAAGCCCTTAGCACATTGGACTTCACACAAAACACAAATTCAAAGATTAAACTATAAAGAATTTCCAGATGTCAGACAGCCACAGAGCATTAACCTCCACATCCAAGGCTCCCTTTTGACTGCACTTGTCAGATGCTCAGGAAGCTGGTCCTGGCTGAGATCTAGAGCCTGGGAATGAGGCTCATAATCCTGGGGCACCCAAAATTCACCTCCGTCAAGATGAAAAATCTAAACTGACTGGTTTGCATAGAAGTGTTGAAGGGTTCCTCCACACAAAAAGCACCAGGCTCATGTGGCTTCACACAAGATTCTCCCCGATTAGTAAAGGTCAGATAATTCCTTTGCTACCCCAAGTATTCCCAAGCATTGAAAAAGAAGGAAAACTTTTTTTTAAACAAAGCAAGGGTAATGTTGAAGCCAAATGCTGGCAAATTTTGTACCAAAAAAAAAAAGAAAGAAAGAAAAGCAAGCTCTAACATCATGTATGACCAACAGTGTGAAATTCTGCAATAAAATATGAGCATGCAGACAAAAGTCCTCAAACATAGATCCCAAGCCTATGAATGGGACTGGAACCCAAGCAGTCCCTCAGTCTGTTCCTTTGGCATCACCCCTCTCCCAAAGGCCTGACCCCACCCTCTTCCACCCCATAGGATACCTGGGCTGTCTCTCTGGCAACTCTGTTTTTAGTTCCTCTGGAGAAATGTTCTGGGGCAAAAAGAATGCAGAGATGAAAAGACTTCCATTAAAAAAGCATTTACTATGTGCCAAAGCACTGGTTTAAGAAACACATGGATTAACTCACTGACCTCTCCCAGAAGCCTATAGGGTAAGTCTGATTATTATCTGCACTTTATAAATGAGCAGACTGAGGCCCAGAGGCATTAAGACACTTGCCCAATGTTGCTCAGAGAGTGAACAACAGAGTTCAGATTTGAATCTGGGTTCAAACTGTAACCACTCCACCATACTTCCTTTCAGAGTACCTAGCCCAGCACCTAGCCGATCCCACTACCCTGTCAAGCAGCTTCAGCCTCTGTCTCCATGGATCCCTTCCTAAATCCTCACCAGACACTAGGAAGTAAGCCTTCTTATCATCTCCATGTTACTAATGGAGACAGTGAGGCCAAGAGAAGGTGGGGTCTACCCTTTCATAAAGGATTTCTGCTAGCTTTTTGTTAACTTACCTGGAAACTCTTTAAGTTATCATTATCATCACTTTACTGAGTATATACTAGGTGCCACTTCTTCTAAACCCATTACATGGATTAAATCATTTAATTCACAAACACCCCTAAGCAGTAGGTATTGTTATCCCTGTTTCACAGGAGAGGAAATAGACACCCGTATGGGAGGAGCCTCTTGTCTGGAGACACAGCTGAGCTGGAACTTGACCTCCAGCTGGTTCTGGCCCCCTATGCCAGGCTTTTAGCATCAGTTCCAGTCCCTTGGGTCTCCCAGGGCTTCTCCAACCCTGTATTTTTTTGGATCCCAACCACCCCAGCCCCTCACCTGAAATTCTTCCTCCAGCACCACCATCTGCCGGTCTTTGTCCACCTTCACTAGGGAGGGATGGCATGCAGGAGTTAGATGCCCTGCCCATCCATCCTCGCACTTGCCAAGTCCTCCTTGCCAGTCCCCACCACCACCTTCCATGCTTCCTTGGGGGAAGATGACACTTACTTATTATGGCTGCATTGTCCGTCTCTTTTCGGAAGCGGAATTTCCTCAGCTTTTCCTTTAGCTCTGGGTCCACCTCACACACCACCAGGGAGTCAGACTGCCAGAAGAGCCCAGGAGGAGCTGAGTTGGCATGGCCTCAGCCCCTGCTCCCTTCCCCAAACCTCAGTTTCTCCATTTACTAATGACAAGGTGGCCCAGTAGTCATCAGGATGCCTTTGGGAATGTAAGGAAAAGGTGCCCTTTCCTCGGGACAGATGCTGCCCCTTGCCAGGGCATACACTTGGATCACAGAGCAGTGGCTGGACTCCAACCCCTCTGGGCAGATACCCTTTGGCAACACCCAAGGAGACCCAAGGACCTGCTTTCCTGCAGCTAACCCCGGAACCACCATCTCTCTTCCCCCAGTCAGGCCATTTACTTCAGTGGGGACCGCCTCTCAGCCCTGACTTCCATCCCACAGCTTGACCTTCACCCAGGCACCCTCCCAGCCCCAGCCCCACCCCAGCCCCTAGCCCTTTCCATGCAACCCCTGGCCCTCTGACCATGACTTTTCTGTCCACAGGCCTCTTCTCAGTTCCACTATCTTCTAGGGGTGGGGACCAGGGCTGCAGAGGGTGGGGTGTGAGGTAGGGGAAAGGTTTCATCTACCACCACATCCTGTTTATACCCATTCTGGGACAACTGTCACAGAGGGCTCCTCCCCCTTCTTCCTTCCCTTTGTCTGTCAGAACCTCCCAGGCTTCACAGTCACCCAGAACCAGGGTTTAAATGCTGCTTTGCTGTATGATCCTAGCTAAGTAACTTCACCCGTCTAATTCAAAATTGTTGTGAGGATAAAATAGCTTCAGATCTCCCAGCATGGTGGACATGTTAAATACACAGGAAACAATGAGTTAATTAGCTCCACCCCTCCTTCAGGAAGCCTTCTTGGATTTCCCCTCATCTGGGCTTTTTGTTTTTAATTTGCACCTCTTTTCATTTTTTCATTATTATTTTTTTATATTGAGATACAATAAAATTTACAACTCTAAGTGCACAGCTTGACATGTGTATACACTCATGTAACCATCACCCAGATCCAAATTTCATTTGGAATATTTTAATTCCAGAGCTGAAAAGGGGAGGTTGGAGACATTTCCTAGTCAAACTGCCACCTATTGTGTTGATGAAGAAATGGAGAAGAGACTCCATAGCTCCCAGAGAATGACGCATTTTTCATGTAGTTATTCAACCCTGTGGACCTTATAACAGCCCCTACAATAATGGTGTTCAATCCTGCCAGACTAGCACCCCTTTTTCATTCAGGGCATTTCATATTGCCCCCTTTCCCATCCCAAAATGAAATTCCTAGATAATGTAACCTACTTATATACATATAATTCCAAAATAAATCAATATAATGTCCTGTCATCTGAAGGAGAAATAAAAGGGAAGTAATTTATGGGAAACTGCTGTATATTTCAGTGAGAAAAATAAGCAAACAAAAGAGAATGCTCACAGGTCCCAGCCCTGCCTTGTCTGGCCTGCTGCACTGGCTTTCATCCATAGTAGGGGCCCCCTCTGCTTGGGTACTGGGTCCTGCCCCCTCTCACCTACTCAGGACATCACGCAGACATTTTCCCTCTCCCCCCCATCACTCATGTTCCCATCTCTACTGGATCTTTTTTCATGGTAGTATTTCATCCATCTTAAGAACTAAACACTGTATCGCCCATCCAGTCACTGCCCATTCACTTCCTTCCCTTTTTAGCATAACTTCCTGAAAGAATCGTCTACACTTGCTGCCTCCAGTTTCTCCTCCTAATTTGCCCTTTAACCCTCTCCCAGCAGATTCTCACTCCTGTGCCTCTCCACTGACACACTTTTGTCAGGGCCAGCAGTGACCTCTGTGGTCATTCCTCAGTTCTTATCTGACATGACCTGTCAGCTGCATCAGATTCAACCCATTGCTCTCTGTGCCCTGAAACCCTTTCTTTACTTATGTTCAGGATAACACCCTGGCCTGTTTTTTCTCTGACTGCTCTGGTTTCTCCTTCTCAATCTGTCTTGCTGATTCTTCCTTTTAACACTGAAGCATCCCAAGGCTCAGTCCTTGGTCCCCTTTTCCATCTACCCTGCTCTCCTGATCTCAATTACTATAGCCTGGACCTCTCCCTCAACTCTAGACTCCTACATCCAACCTTGACATCTTTCCTTGGATGTCTTAGAGTCATCCTTGACCCTTCTCATCCCTCTCACAATGTACATCAGAACTTGTCAACTTTGAACTTCAAAATATAATCAAAACCTGTCCATTTTTTCCCACTTCACAGACCATATCCTGATCCTGTCCACCTCCATCTCCTGCCTGAATTCTTGCAACAGCATCATTGTTTCCTGATCCTTTGCCTTCACTCTTCACACTATTATTCATAGGATTTCCAGAAGAATCCTAGTAAAAGCCAAGTCAGATAATATACCTCTTCTCTCAAAACCCTCCCATGACTCCTGTGTTATTTGAATAAAAACAAAAGTCCTTACACTGACCTTTAAAACTCTAAATTATCTGCCACCACCCTCCTCCCTCCTCTTGCACGTTGCCTTCCACTACCCTCCTCTTTGGTTACTCCACTCCAGCCACCAGCCTCTTTGTGGTTCTGTGAGTGATCCTGCCAGTGGGCCTTTGCACCTGCTGTTCCCTGTCTGAAACCTTCTTTCCCCCATAGTTTAATCCTTTCATTCCTTCATATTTCTGTTCAAATCTCACCTGATCAAAAAGGCCTTTCCCCATCTAAAATAGTGCTGACCCCATCACTCCATTCCCTCAGCTTGCTTTATTTTTCTCCATAGTAATTATCACCAAGTTACATTGTATTTATTTATTTAATCTCCCCCAACTAGAATTTGCGTAAGCTTTGTCAAAGTAGAGGTTTTCTGCTTTGTTCACTGTTGAATTTCTAGCATGGTAAGCAGTGCCTGGCACATACTGGGTACTTAAGAAATATTACTGAATGAATAAATGAACTAGCATCTACTGAGCACAGCCATTCTCTATGGTGTGAAAGTTGTGGCTTACACATAGAGGGTAGGCATGGTTGGGTTTGTGATATCCTCTACCTTAGTTTGAAATGACCTTTCCTTAGGGTCTGTGATACCACACTCTCCTGGTTTTCCTCCCCTCTCTCTGGCTCCTCTTCTATCTTTGTTGAGTGTTGATTTCTTTGCTCAAATTTCATATGTCTCCTTTTCTCAGGATTCTGTCAACTCCATGTCTCCGTTCCTCTTTCATACACTCCCCAGGCTAGTTCATTCTTCACTATTATCCCACAGGTTGTTAGCATCTTTGATGATCCTCAAATCTTAGTTTCCATCTCCAATTTCTCTCTCAAGCCCCAGATTCAAGGATTGAAGAGCCTCCGTGACACTGCTGCCTAGTGGCCCACACTGGGCTCAACATCTTGCCAAATCTACGTCTCCTCTGTATGTCCTTCTCAGAGAGGCCCACCAACCCCCGATTCTCCGAGCCAGAAGGTCTTGTCTTGGATTTCTCCCTCATCCCCTCTGCAGCCAGCCAGTCCCAGGGCAGCTTCACTGGGCCTCCTGGCTGTCTGTCCCACCCATACCTTCCCTTCCCTTACCACAGTCACGCCCTGGTGCAAACGTCCCTCTCCCACCTCAGCTGCTTCCCTGGTCTCAAAGCTCCCAGTTCTGTTCCTTCCAATCCATCCTCCATAAAAAAGCGAGAGACATCTTTCCAAACTCCCAACTGTCCTTGACCCTCACTGGCTCGAAGCTCTTCCATGGCTCCCCGGTGCCCTCAGGACAAACCCGAAGTCCCTCAACTGGTCAAACATCTGACCACTGTTTAATTTTCATCACTTCCTGCCTTGAACTCTACACTCCATCCAACCCGACTGTATTTCCTTGCATTCCTCTAACAAGCTTGTCTCTTGTCACATTCTGGGTGAGGTCTCCCACTCCGCTTAGTTCACCCAGATCAAGGAAAGTTTGTGGAATGAACAGATTACAATGGTCATGGCGACAACTCCCATTTGTTGTCGGTCTCCTTTGTGCCAAGCACTCTATAAGCATCCTATGAATCCTCCCGTTTGAGAGACGAAGCAGAATGCTCGGAGAGGGGCGCGGTGAGAAAACTGAGACTCCAGAACTCCGGGCGCCAACCCGTAACCAGTAGAGTCGGGGGCACAACCCCGCCAAGGCTCGAGGCGGGGTGAGCTCGAGGGGAATGGAGGGTTGCCGTGAACGCCACAATCAGGAATTGTGACCTAGCTGGGAGCCGTGGAGGGAGACGCGGGCGAGACTGCCCCCTGCGGGACGGGAGGCCCAATCCCGGGCTTCGTCGGGCCCGTTGCCCGTAGCAACGCGGCGCGCGCCCCGCCCGCCGCCCTGGCCCAGCGACTGCTCGTCAGCCCAGGGACGGGCCAATCCCACTGAGCAGAAGGCGGGCCTCTTGGGCCTCGCTCAACCCCTGTCGCTCCCCTCTCTGCCAGGACCCCGCCTCTCTCGGCGCACACCTCCCACCCTTCGCGCTGCCGTCGCTGCCCGTTGGCTGGCGCGCCGTTCGTCCCCGCGGCGTAAGCTAATGCCGGCGCCCAGGGGCCCTGGCGGGGCGGGGCCAGGGGCGGTGACGCACGGCGCGGTGACGCAGCGCGACGGCGGTGGCGGCGGCGGCGGCGGCGGCGGCGGCGGTGGTCGGTGCGGGAGGAGGGAGGGGAGCTCGCGAGGTGGAGAGGGGGCGACGGCGGTGGCGGTGGCCTGAGGAGGCCCGAACGGCGGCGGCGGCCAAGACGGCCAAGGCGGTGAGTCGCAAACAGGGCCGGGCGGAATCGGGGCGGCGGCGGGTCGGGGCGCGCGGAGCTCACCTCAGGGCGCCCCAGGCCGCGCGGGCGGCCCCGCCCCCTCAGGGACCCCGAGCCGCGGGCGGCGGCGAGCGCGGAGCGCGGGCCTCCGGGGTCCCGGCCCTCGAGAGACTTCCTACCCGTTCCCGAAGAGCCTTCACAGGCCACTTCAGAAGCTTCCCTCCCAAATCCTCACACCCTCGGGATCGCTGAGGGCCTGGGCTAGGAGATGTACCTCGAACACCTCCCTGGGGGGAGGGGGCAGTCCCACAGACCATCCTCCCAATTCTACCTCGAAACCCCTGGGAACGCCCATTCTCTCCGATAGACTGTCCGAAAGCCTTCCCGAGAGACCGCCCTACCGTTTCCAGTCTTCTCCAGAGACCGTCATCTGTCTCAAAAAATCTTGCCCATTAGACCACCCCCCCGCCGCGTGTCCCCAAATCCCCCATCCTCCTCGTTCAGAGATATTTCCCGGAGGCCACTCCTCATATATGCCAACAATATGTGTCAGAGATCTTCTCCAGGAGCCTCCTTCGTAAGCCCTAAAAATCTTCAGTCTCCCTGAAATCCCTCAGACCCCGTACATTCCAAAACTCCCCCAGATACCTACTTCACAGATCCCGACAATCTCCCTCAGACCTCTCCCTCTCACATCCCAAGAATTTTCCCTCCCACCTATCCCCATACCAGAAATGGCTTAGAAGATTTTCCACACAGAGCCCCCAAATATCAGAGCCCCTCCCCTGCCAGGCCTTCAGAATGCCCCTGATGTACCCTGAAAGTCTTCCTCAGAGATGTCCTGAAATGTCCTCAGAT